CAAGAAAGTATCGAAAATTTTTTATCCCAGAAGGAACTGGAGAAGAAGAAAACAATGACCCTAGTGATAAACACACAACCAATACTGAGAACATCATCATCTGGGACAATACAAATGAACCAAACTACCCCTATGAAAAAGACAATTCTGGAAATAGAAGAAGAAGGGAGCAAAACACTGAGTGTCAAAAAACAAGAAATGATAATCAATCAAGAAGAAAAGAAAACACAACAAATCAAACAAATAGAATTTTAATTGATGTGTTGTATTGTTTTGCAATTAATTTGTTAAATAAGAAATTAAATAAGAAATTAAGATGGGAACAAATAGAAAGCATAATAAAAGTAGTAAACATTAATGTAAATAATCAGAAAGAATACATTAATAATATTAAAAAGTCACATAGAATAAAAGAAACAACTAAAAGATATATTAAAATGAAAGTGAACTCCATCATAGAAAGGAAAGTAGAGTGTAATCTAATAATAAAAAATATTATCATAAAAAATAACTCTACTGATATTGATGATGAATATCTTAACTCTATCATCACTCAAGTTAAAGGAATGAAAATAGATAAATGTGTAAATATTAATTATTACTGGAGAAGGAAAGAATCAGATAAATTAATAAGAGAAATTAATAATAAAAGGGTATGGTCAGGAAGCAGAATAGAAAATCTGCAAGAAGATATGAAAAGGATTTCAATGTGTATGCATTACTATCTCCAAAATAAATTTAAATGAGATAAATTTGATGAAATAAAAGAAATCCTAAGGAAAATAAATAGAATAGAAGATCTAATCAATGGAATGGTACAGAATAAAATGCATCATGAGATTGAAGGAACAAAATGCAGATGAAATTAAAATGAAAGCACAAGAAAGAATAAAGTACCTAAAATATATGATGACGATGATTAAAGAAAGAATTAAATTTAATAAGAATGAAAGGGTCAGAATCAATACAAATAAAATCATGTTTGATTCTAATAAGAAAATCAAAATAAAGAAGAAAGACCCACAAAATGAAATATATCCAAATAACGATATTACTTTAGAATATTGGAAATCATTATATGAAACACAGGTGATATTAAATAAAGAACATTTGAAAATAAATCAAATCACCTCGTGGAATGAAAGATACAGGAATTATGATAGTGTCATCATCACATTGGATGATTTAAATCTAAGCCTGATGAAAATAAGTAATTGGAAATCACCAGGTATTGACATTATATATTTGTATTATTGGAAGAGAATGTCATCATCAAGAGATTCCATTCTTAATATATTCAATGAATTGTTAAACTTCAATGAAAACATCCCTCTAGACATGGTAAGTGGAAGAACTATATTAATCCACAAAGGAGGTGATATGAACGATGTCACTAATTATCTTCCTATCAGTTGTACAAATGTAATAATAAAAGTATTTACCTCCATATTGAAAGAGAAGATTCATAATAGAATTAACATGAATAATGAATCATTAAAAATTAGTAAAAATCAGTTATGATGTAAACTGCAATCTCTTGATGATAAAGAACGATTAATTAACACTTATATGTTAAATCAGTAAAAAGAAGAGAAATACACAAAATATGTAGAGTCATATTATGATATTAAGAAAGCATATGAATCAGTAAATCATGAATGGGTAATAGAATCACTTAAATATTTTAATGTAGAAAGTGTCATCATAGACATTGTAGAAAGTATGATGAACAGATGGAAGATATTCATAGGATATAAATATAATGAATATCTAGGATGTATTAAACTGAAGAGAGGAATTTTACAAGGTGATTCATTATCCCCTCTACTCTTCATCATCCAAATGAATATAATTTCTCAAATCATAGAAGAGAAGTTCCCAAAAGCAAACCATACATTGTATATGGATGATTTGAGAATAATGACACAAAGTAGTGAAGAAATGGGAACAATCCACAATGAAATTAAACAAATAATAAGTGGAATAGGGATGGAAATGAAAATAAATCAGGAATGGTATTAAAGAACATTAATAAAATACCAGATGGAATGCAAAACATCCCAATAATTGAAGGAGAGGACTTGTATAAATATTTAGGTGTATGGCAGTCCGATGAAATTAATGATATATTCAATTGTAAAATCATCAAATAAAAGATGATGAAGAAAATGGAAGAGATAAATACTGATGAATGTAGTAATAGAAGATATATTACAAGAATTAATACTGAAGTAATACCCATCTTCAGATATTCAGCATCAGTAGTAAATTGGAAGGTAACTGACCTAGATAGAATAGATTTGGAGATAAGAAAATATTTAAGAAAGGTAAAATACATTGGTTGTAACTCCAAAGACCGTCTATATGTCAATATAAATGAAATTGGTGAATGATTAATAAGTCTAAGGGACGAATATGTTATTGAAATAATTAGAAGAGTAATGTACTATTGTACAAGAGAGAGTGAAATAAGAAATAACATAATAAATAGATGGTATTCCAAGAAAGGAATATGGAATAGAATTAAAAAAGCACTAAGTCATAAAATCCCAGAAACGAAAATAGAAGAAATAATAAATGAATTGAAAATGAAAATAAAAAAGAAGTAGTAGAAAAAATAAAGAAAATAATGACCAACAAATACACCAAAAAATGGAAATCAAACAAGTTGACATTTTAGAAGATGGTTCGAGTCAAAATTTGTAGATAAAACTACTACAATCAATGCATGGAAGTCCATCAATATAAAGAAAAATGCATTTCTCCAATTAACTAAAATGCAAGATGGAGCAATATTTAGTGGGTACAGGAAAGCGAAAATATTAAAAAATGAAAGATTAAAGTACTGCCCACTTTGTAAAGACAAGATAGCCACAGTAGAACACATTCTACTATCTTGTATTGGTCATAAGAAATCACAAATGGAAAAACATGACAATATTGGCATCATCATATGGGAGGGGTTAATAAGAAAATACACATTAAATAAACAATACAAGAAAACCCCATATGAAACAGTGTTCCAATACAACGACATCAATATGATATGGAACAAACAAATAATGCCAAAAAGTGATGGACTATATCATAAAAGACCAGATATATATGTAATAGATAAAAAGAATAAAACTGGTCTAATAATTGATATGACTATTGTGGCAGATCATAATATTAATGGAGCCTATTGGAAGAAAAGAAATATGTATAAGGAATTGAAAAATAGGGTAATGAAAATAGAGAAATTAAAAGATGTCAAAATAATTCCAGTAGTAATTTCGATTAATGGGCTAGTAAATGCCGAAAGTATTAAATTAATCAAACAATTAAAAATCGAAATTGACATCACTAAAGAAATTAAAAACCTTGTAATTAAAAACATGATGGACGTCATGGAACACTGTTTCGATCACAACCAAACATATGTAGTTGAACTACAAGACGAAGACGAAGGGACGGGATTAGTCTCCCCTGAGCCAGGAACAATATACACAAGTTCTATTAATACTTAATTAACTTCTTATTTATTTTAAATTCATTTTTTTATAACGATTAGGTTATTATTTATTTTTATATTTATTTGGTTTCTGAACAATCTCTTTTGTATTATTATTCGTTTATTTGTTATATTCATTATATTTAAGTTTTGTTTATTTGTTAGTGAAATTCATATTGACTATACTTAATTTTACTAGTTTATGCTTACTAATACTATTATTTGTTTATTTATTTTGGATTTAGTAATATATTCTATTTATTATTTCATTTGATTTCTTGTTTAAATTTATCATTGTTAATTTACTTAATATCTTCAATTATTGTTATTAGTTTATGCTGTTTCTTTATTTTCATTTGATTATTACGAATCATTGTTAAACATCTAATGTATATTGATGATGGAATGATTTTGTTGAATAGCATTTGATCATTATCAATTTATATATCCTCATTAGTTTCATCTTCATATCTTTGTTCATTTAATAGAGTATAATTATTTAGTTAGTTCATTATTTTTACATTGTTAAGTTGAATATCTATTATGTTTGATGTATTGATATAATTCATATTTGGTAATATAATTTGAGATTCTTTAATTAAATGTTTATATGATTCATTTTTTTATTATATCATCAAGTAATTTGTATATTTCAATTAAATTATATATTTTCTATCAATTAAAATTAACATTATATCACAACTTGACATTGATTTAAATTATTTTGATGACCATGTTGATAAATCAATCCTTTCTTATTTTCTTTTTCTATAATCATTGTTACTCTTTTATTTTTAATATTTTTGTCATTTATCTTTCTTATTAATTCTATATTTATCATACTCATTATGACTAACATGATACATATTCATATTCAATACAAAATAATAAAGTTATATTTATTAATGTCAATAATATATAATTTATTTAAATAATGTGATAATTTCTCATATTCTTTAATGATAATACTTACAATTGTATTTCTTAATTGATTATTGATTGAATAATTAATAGAATGATTATATGATTCAAAAATGTTGATGTTGAATATTAAAAATCTTTATTAATCATATGATATTGTTACTGTAAATTAATGTTCTTTATTTGATTTCTCTATAATATATTAATCACTACTGATTCTATATGTATTAATACTATTCTTTTGATTTGTATTTCTTTATAATATATTTATTTATCATTTTACAAAATATTTACAATTAAATTTATTTTATGTATTGCTTCTACCATATTTGAAATTTTTACAACTTCTACAGTGATTATATTTATTAATACTACATCATTATTACAATGGTTATTCTTTTTTCTATTTTATTATAAGAAAATATATTATTTGCAATACGAAGTATGCATTTATAATGAACAAACTTATTTAATATTTGTTTATTGTTGTTATCATTTAGAAATGAATTTTACATCATTTAATTATCATACTCGAAAATGATATATCTTTATTTATTTTAATAATTAGTAAATTATCATGTATTTCATGTGTTTTTTTAATTTAATATTCTTGTTATTATATTATTCTTTTCTCATATAATGGTTATAGAAAATATCATTATTATTTATTAGAATAATAAAATTTTCAATCAATTCCAATCAGTTTTAGTGAATATTTAAATATAGATAATGAATAGAGAATAAATCTAATTATAGTAAATTTTCATTTATTCTCTTATTTACCATATGTATATTATTATGAAATGAATGTGATAATAAATAATATGATATATAATATATAATAATGTTTATTCAATTATCTTCCTTGAATAATAGATTTTGAATTTAAAATACTTGCAATATCACAATATCATTTCTATTCATTGTATTTATTTAAATAGAGTATTACAAATAATAAATATATAATTAAAATGAATAAATAATTTTAGTTCATTTATATGATTGTTTTATTTCCATTTATTATATAATTCAAATGATACATAACACTTTCTTATTAAATAATTTACATTAAATTAGTTTATTATTAATATTTTTAATGTTATAACTATTCTTTTTGAAATAACATTCAACACTTACTCATAAACAAAAACATAAATATGAATGAAAACACTCAATATATAAATCAAATCAGATGAAATAATGAAATTAATAATAACATTATGATAAAAAGAATTAAATTACTTATTAAATCTAACAAATAATGATATAAATTATGATATTTTATTTTTCATTTCAATAACTAATTAAAAATGATAACAACATCAATAATAATAACATTAATAAAAAGAAACATCAATACATTAAAATAAAGTTTGATTTATTCCAAATGAATACCAATAGATAATATCAATGAAAATATTTAATATAAAGAAAATTGAGCGTAATTTAGCCAATTTTTAATAAGTCAAATTTTTCATTATTTTTTTGCCACTACAATTTTAAAAAGATCAATTTCTCTTATTGGTATAAGATATTTTTATCAAAAATTATTTAATTTAATTTATCCTAGAATGTTTCAATTTTTTCATTTAATTATATATTCTACTTATTCATCTGTTAATTTACTTATTTCTTCATTTATATTCATATATTATGTTATTTCTTCTATTAATACTTTGTTTATCATTTGTTTCTTCTTTCTCTTATATTTCTTTCTAAATGATATGTATTTTATTTTGTTTGAAATTCTGTTATTTGTTGTTTATGATTTGTTTTCAAATATTCATCAACAATAATTTATATTTCTTTTCTTATTTTCTTTTTAATCTTCTATTTCTAATTTTTAGTATTAATTAAATATTCTTATTATTTCTTTTTTGTGTTTTCATTTTATTTTCATTTTATTATTCTTTATGTATATTTAATTATTGTATATTTATTGTTATTTAATAAGTATTTGATTTTGTTTATTTTTTATATTATTTTATCTTTAAATTTCATTTATTTTATTGACACTTTATTTTATTACTTGTTTGATTGTTAACGTATGAATAATTAGAATTTTTAATTTTATTTAATATATTGAAATTACTCTTTGTTATTTATTTATCATTCTTTGTTTTTGATTATTATATTTTGGTTTTGTCTATTTCTCTTCTATTTTCTTTTTATTATCTCTATTAGTTCTTTTTTCTGTTTATTTCTTTATTATTAATATTTTATCTTTATTGATATTATTTATTTTATTTTCATCATTAATACATATTTCTTTTAATTTAATTATTTAATTTCATTAACATAGAGATTAAATTCACTAATTATAATTAATACATATAATTATAATTATAATTTTTTGATAATAAAATAAAATCAACTGATTTATTTGAATTTTAATCTTTATTATATAAATAATTACACAATCAAATTATATACTAATTGGTTGTTTATTTAACATTTATTCTGTTAATTGTTATGACTTCATTATATTTTTGTTATATTTGTTTCTTGTATTATTATTAATTTAACATTGTTTATGTTCAATTCATCAAATAAAGATTGATTTGAACTTGTTAATTCATAAATAACATTTCTAGATATTTCTATTATTATTCATATTCTCTCTGTTGTATAACTATTTATGTTTTGTGTTTTAATTATTTCTGATATTATATTAAATTTTATGAATAATTTTTGTATTTTCTTCATGTTATTTATCTTACCATTATTTATTTGTGTTTTAATATCATGATCTATTATTTTATTTTCTATTTTTATTTGTTTAATATTAATCATAAGTTAAATATGTGAACATATTATTAATAAATTATGTAAATTGTTAATCAATTAAATTTAATTCATTAACATACTTTTTAGATATTTCATTATATTTATTTTCATATTTTATTTCATTATTTTATATATTTTTCATTCTATCATCATTTAATATTAATTTGATTATTAACTTTAATATTTATTTTAATTTATTATGAATTGAAGTATTAATTATATATTTTATTTCTTTTTTTTTATTGTATTTTTCAATTCTATTTATCCATTCTTGAATACTTTTATTATCTTCTCTTTTTTGTATTCTATTTTCATATTTATTTCTTTTTTATTCATTTATCTTTATCCTATTTTATCCTTTATTTCTCACTCATTTTCTTACATATATGTTATACTTTTTTCTTTTCCATTTCTTTTTCTATTTTATATTTATAATATTTCTTTTTATCTCTCAATATTTATTATTTATATTCATCTTATTCATTTCATTTTTTGTAGAGCAACATTCTTTTTTTTTAAAATAAACATATTGTTCTTTTGATATATTAAATATAATACTATTCTCTTATAAATATATTTATTATTTATTTTATCTATTCTATTTCTTGGTTTTTCTTAACCACTTCAAAAAGGGTATACCATTTTACATCACTATTCATAAACATCCTCGTGTCAATGCTGATTATTGATTTTATCATTATTTCAGTATTGATATCTTTCTATTTTAGATAATTATTTAAATATAACTTGTTGTAATTTTTATAGTTATTTTGTAGTGTTTGGTTCATAGCAATTTCCTCTCCCCCCCCCCCAAA